AACAGATAAAGTGAGGATTTATGTTGCGCTAGACCAACAACCTCGAAATCCTATGATTTGTTGTTTAATTTCTAAGAAAGAAATGGTTTTGCTGGGGAAGACATGTTCTGCTGTTGAAGATGGTCGTACTGCCCACCGCGCTAGCTCCAAGTGCCCGGCGTGACGAGTTTAAGTTTTCTAATGTGTCCAGTTACTGTGTCAAATCAAACGGCCCTATGGTTGTAGTCCTCTAAATGTCCTATATAAAAGAATACATGTTTAAAGCTATATAATATAAAATGTGTCATGCAGGAACAGACAGTAGAATGCATATGGAACAGTAGCAGGTAGAAACAGGAGCAGTATAACATGCTATACAAGAAGAACAGTAGCAAGTAGAAACATGAATAATATAACATGCTATACAGGAAGAACGGTAGCAAGCAAAAACAAGAAAATAAACTACTGTAAAATGTAAATCAAACTTGTATGCCCGTGAGATCCGCCGTTTCTTAAGTATAGCAAGCCTAAGAAATGCAGTGCATCTAGCGAAGTCTGGAAGAAAACGTCATCCAAGAAATCCAAAGAAGAGCATTACAACAACTCATGACAGAAAACTCGAGAGAATCAATGAAAAAGACTCAAGTAAAAGAAAATCCTCGAAAATCCTGGGGAAATCCCGAAAGAAAGAAAAAGTAACACAAGTGCCATATCCCAAAGCATCGATGAAACGAAAAAAAGATTCGGATGAGGGGGACCGCAAGCACTCGTATGGAACTAGGCTCAGCTGTAGTATATTTATTCTCGAGGGTCCCTCGAGGGTCCACGAAGGCTACTCGGTCACCCAAATGTATAGAACTCACCACTCGTCTAGAAGGATGTCTTGAACCCTCACTTAGGATGCTTTTTCCCAGCTTAAACAGTTATTCGTCACGTGGACAACCAGTTTTAAAGTGTCTTATGTTTTTTAATATGCATACAAATTTTAAACATGCAAAAAAAAGTTATCAATTTTGTTCGTGGAAAAGGATGTTTCTTTTAAAGGGTTTATCAAAACTTATATTTATTTATTTTTTTTTTAGAAATTTTCGTTATCTACGAGTCGATTACATTGTCGGGCGTGGGACTGTCAATCACCGGAGGAGATTCGAGCCAACTCCCGCAAGACTTATATCGGTAAAGGATATCATATCCTATTGTTCCTCAAATGTCTGGATCTTGATGTTATAGGATATGGTATCTTTCTGCTCTATCTCCGGTGTGCCTTTATCATCAACACCGTACGCCCCAAAACGACTACTTGCAACATTGTTTGATGGTTGCACGTATAGCAAAACGCTATACGTGAACACTTATGCATCGGACATAAGCATCAAAAAGAACGAACCAAGAAGCAAGGAAAGAAAAGAACAAAAATGGGGTGAGAGAGAAGAGGCACTGATCCATCTAAAACACCAAAAAGGAGAAAGGATCAGTTCTCAAAACTCGTACCGAAGAGACCTGGAAAAGTAGGGCCCAAGGTTTTTTCTAACAAACATAAAGGGCAAGCTCACGGTAATTTTTCCACACCCCAAAGACATAGGATTGATCGAATCTACCAAATGCTTTTCCAAAATGAGGTTTAAAATCTCCCAAACTTCAAAAGAAAGTGACTTCGGGGAAACCACCATCGATATTTCCAAACTCATGCCGAAATCAAAATTCTCCCACTTTCGAATTAAAGAAGTCTCGTATATCAAATAAACATGAAATTTTCCCACATAACCTAAATAAATGCTCAGGGCCGGGGCCAATAGAGAAGAGAAAGCAACCACCAAGGCCCTTGGCTAAGACAAGAAACAGGGCTAAATGAGGCTCACGGCTAAGGCAGAAGACAGCTTCCAAGACTCATGACCAAAGGCAACCAAAGGGGCAGCGAGTGAGGCTCACGGCGAAGGCGAACACAAGAATAACGAATGACTACTATGCTTCCCTGACAAACATGAGAGGATAACTAAAGTGATTATAGTTTTTTTGGATGACAAACTTGATTCATCCACAACACTCAAGCCAATCAAGCCTAGCAAGAAGGACCAAATCACACCC